CACCTTTTACAAGGGACTCATAACATAAATAGTGGGTGTTACATGGTACAGTGGCATAATGTACATGTACATGTCTGCCTACCCCTTTGGGGATAATAGGCGTGATATTATGTTATGTTATGATTACAATTATATGTAACTAGTAGTAACTCTCATATCTCTGGCACCCAAAACATAAATATTGTTCATCAATATTGATCAGTGTTAATGATAAGATTGAAAGGGAATTGTTGACTGTTTTATTCGATTGGAAAAGAAATAAAACGCTATCTATGTTATATAGACCACAAATAACTTAAATATAACAATACAATCATATAAACTGTCAATATTCATGATCTTTTGAAAATGAAGTAGGATTTAGATACAGCTAATTAGAGTTTTTCAAAGATAATAATAATAATCTGACTTGTAATCAATTGTTGGCGATTATATATGTACATTGACGCACAGAATCTAATCGGATAGGCGTAAATATATAAGTAATGTTGAATGTATTCCGATTAGTTTGTGTCAATGGTCTGGATTGGACGCAGTCGATCTCGAAGTGTTTCAAAAGTTTAGACATAATATATCAGTGTAAGTGAATGTCAGTGAATTTTTCTAGTAACCACGTTCCTAAGAATACATTTTCCCATAAATATTTAAGTTTAATTTGTGCATTATTTTAAAATTATTTTACCGAGACGCTCGGGAGCGAGTTAAGAGTCCCCACCCTATAGATATATGTTTTGTCAGTCAAAAGTGTCGTCCCAGTAAATGAACCTAGCGCAGAGCATCCGTGTGTACCGAGCAAGGTTCTGTCTGTGTAGGGTAACCCACGTTGCGTCATTTGACGAATACATGCATACTTTACAAACAATAGTCGGCCTACAAATTATAAATGCTTGCATCCTGCTTAGACACAATGAAAATTGTCTACGAAGCGACAATTTTAAATCCGTCTAACGTTTTTGACGAATGCATGCGTTCTTAATGAATAGTTTTTGTTTCCATCATGTATGTGATTGTAACACGAGATAATTACAGATGAGGAGCTTCATCTTCATCACAGTGCTGTCAGCACTCACAGCCTGCTATGGTGCTTCTGTCCTCCCGGACAACAATGAAATGATTACCGTTGTATATGATGACGAGGCACCCAACGGAAGGATTGTATCTGACGCAGAATTTAAAAACAGCGTAATAATTCCTGACAATTGGGTCCTATTATCTGAGTAAGTATCCACTAAGCTAGTTCACTCATCACTCACACTCATCTGTCTGACTTTGGGGCCATACTGGAGTAGAGTTCCACAAGACAGGGTGCAATGGAAGGAGTTGGAGGAGGCTTATGCCAAGACGCACACCGAGCTTAGGGATATCATTTAATAAAGTAAACATTTAATCAGCTGCTCC